CCTCAGTTTCCCTAACTGTAAAAGTGGATAAATGACACTAAGCTCCTTTGTAAAGCACTTTGAAATCTCCTAATGAAAAACATGAAGAGCTAGATGGTATTGTCATGTTTGCAGGATCAAGCCAATGAAGTTCCTCAAAGGAAAAAAAAATCACATTATACAAAACCTATCTAAAATTATTTTCCCAAATTCCCTGAGATGCAATAAAACTAGCATAAATGAGGTCAAATTTGGGCCACTGGTGTCTGAGTTTTCCAATAAGGTATAAATAATAAACCATTATCTATTATCAATAGAAAGGTCAACTCCAGCTTGTCTATTTCTCTTCATCAATCTGAACTCCAAGAACCTGTTTTCCCTCTACTTAACCAGACTGCATATATGTCCCCTCTCCATTGCAATTACTTCTTCCTTAGATCCTCTGTAGGTGTAGATGGATGGTAGATTATGAAAGGAAGAACAAAACATCTGCTGGATAGATTTCCTTCTGCTGTAAATGATCTGTCTGAAAAGTGTTACTTTGCTTTTTCCTGCATGAGATATCTCCAGTCTCAAACAGCTAGAGTACCTCTATCTATGGATGTGAATGTTTAACTGATTAACCAGTGGGGGCTGGAGCAGCTCCCTGCCTGTTGCGAGCATGGCGCTGCTGCAGCCAGCCCCACAAGAGGTTTGCTGCGGACATGGGCTGCGCTGGCCAGGATGGAGCAACCCCTGCCTGTGGTGTGGTGGTGGGGGGGAGAGAGGAAGGGTACTCCTGCCTGGCAGTAGGCAGAAGGGAACACTCCAGCCAGATTGGAGTTTCTTTGCCCTCCCCGCCACCTGACCCCCCCTTTAATCAGTTAACCGATTAAACAATATATTTGACTAGTTAGCCATTCAAACGGTAGTTTACATGCCTAGCTCTATCACAAAGGAATTACCATCATAAGCAGCGAGACAACTCAAACCCACCACCGTTCTGCTTGGCAGGGAGGGATTCAGAAGCCTTATGCTACACAGCACAACACAATATAAGGGGGATAAAATTATCTTCCACTGAAATTCCACGTGTGTTGACATTAAAGGGCTCGTGGCATTTTTCTAAGAATTTGCCACTTTGTTCTCAGCCAATCTTTCTTTCTCCCATACTCTATCGCCATATGAGGCTGATCACCCATTAAATGTACACTCCTCCTTACAAAGCAGCTTCATTTCAGTGGTACAATGTGCAGTGTTTGTGAATGACAACATCCCAAGAAGGGTGTTTCTCTCCTGAAACATACATCTCATATTGAGAATCAAGATACATTGTTGGGATGCATCATGCTAATGATTAAGGCTTTGGCCTGAAATACCCTGATCTTAATATACACTTGAGCTCTGTCACACAGAAGAGACAAATATTTGCTGCCAAACTTGCATTCAGACCTTTATAACAATAAGTTTTTAAACAAAAAAGACACTCACTCACCCATAAAGCGCGCTCTCTCTCTCCCTTTTACTTTGCTTTTTAGTCAACTCCACTGCTGTTCATGCACTGAGCTAACATTGGTTGGTAAATTCCATGAGAAAAAGTCACCTCAATACAACACTGGAAAATAAAATCAGAAATACTCCACTAATATTTCATTCTGAATTTTAGCTTAGCAAATCAATTTTGTCTGCAGAAGACAAATAAATTGCCTCCCTAGGCAATTTATTCCAGTGCCTAACAATCCTGACAGTAAGGAAGTTTTTTCCTAATGTCCAACCTAAACCTCCCTTGCTGCAATTTAAGCCCATTGCTTCTTGATCTATTATTAGACGTTAAAGAAAATATTTTTTTCCTCCCTCCTTGTAACACCCTTTTAGGTTCTTAAAAGCTGCTATCGTGTCCCTCTCAGTCGTCTCTCTTCCAAACTAAACAAACTTAATTCTTTCAGTCTTCCCTCATAGGTCATGTTTTCATTTTTCCTTTTAGCTGTAGATCGCTATTCCTGGCCAATGGAAGGTGCAGGAAGCAATGCCCTGGTCTGTGTTGCTTCCAGCCACTTCTATTGGCCTGGAACTCTGATCCGTGTCCAATGGGAGCTGCAGTCACCAGTACCTGAAGAGGTGCACATAAATATAGCAGCAGCAGCTATCCAAGGACTAACCTTAGCAACCAACCACTATTTTATTGCCCACTCCAGGTTAACAGAAAATGCAAGGATAGCATATGGTATTTCAAAATATGTCTCTTGCATAAAATGACATAATAATTTGCAATCTGAGCATCTTTACACAGCTAAGCAAAGGGACACGAACTAGTTTTAGATCTAAAACTAAGACTTCCAAGTATTAATGTAGAAATAACCACAAAATCTACTCTGAAAAAAGTACCCACAATATTTTAAAAGTGTCAATGGAAAGTATTTTTCTGGATTTAACCCTCTCTCTAAAGTGCTGTGAACTCAACCAAAAGCTGTGAACTCAACCAACAACTGTATGCTACCCACAAGAGAACCAGAAAGTGAAACCAACTAGTAACTAGAGTGAAACTGACACATCCTACTCAATGAAATACAAAACAGACAACCCAAGGGAAATGAAATGTAAACCAGATTTTTATGCTTTTGGTTTCAGTGATCTAAGGTGCACAGAGGTCAACTTTCATGAAGTTCCTACAGCATGAAGCTCCCCCTGCCCCAAAGCAGAGCCTATCCTGCTAATCAACAATGCATTCTGACATGCACAGGGACATACAAAATACTGCTTAAGGGATGAATGCAACATAACATGCTCTTTGCTTACTGAAGTTAAGATATGTGTCTTCCATGAAATACTGGGGAAATTTATTTTTCAAGACCTTTAAAATACTGCACACAAAATAACTCCTACTCACTGTTATAAGGATTTTGATCGGAGTTGCTAAAGCACATCTGATCACCGAACCATCTATCTGAAGTGGTTAATGCGACTGGGGAGAAAGAAATGGACCATGTAACTGATGCTAGTCATATCGCTTAACATGCATGTAGAATGGACCATAAGCCCCCATGCAGTACCAACTGGAGAGGATACTCCTCACATCCTGTCCTACACTGCTATATAGTGCTGCTCTGTGCTGTGAAACAGATGCCTATGATGCCTATTCTACCCTAGGTGCACCTGCATTTCACTGTGGGACGGAGAGGGCACTGAAAGGTTTCTTTAGTTAAATTTTATGAAATATTTAAAAGTCCTTAGAGAGAGGAAGCAACAATAATGTTGTTTAACTCTGGAGAAAGAATGCACCATGGATATGTTTAAAAAAAAAATCACATTAAACCAATGTAGTTTCCTTCTTTGTGGGGTAACCTGCTTCATGGACAGGGAGAAAGTAGTAGAAGTAACATATGGACAGTAAGGCTCATGGTGCAGTTCCACATAAAATCCTCATCAATAACATGGGGAAATATGGTCTAGATGAAATTACTAGAAGGTGGGTTGAAAGATCAAGGAATAGCTATCACAAGTCACTGTAAATTGGTAAGTTATAACAAGAGGTCCTACAGAGATCTGTACTCTCTGGTACTATTCAATACTTTCATTAGTGACTTGGACGAAGGAGTGGAATGGAGTATGGTGATAAAGCTTGTAGATAACACCGGGATGGGAAGATTTGCACGCACTTTTGAGCATAAGGGTAAAATTCAAATTTATCTTGATACACTGGAGAATTGGTCTGAAGTCGATAAGATGATATTCAGTACTGACAATTGCAAAGTACCGTACTTCAGATGGAAAACACACACATATAAAATATAGTAGGAAATAACGGGCCAGGCAGCAGTATTACAGGAAAGGATCTAGTGGTTATAGAGGATCGCAAATTGAATGAGCATTTAGTGTGATGCTGTTGTGAAAAAAAGCAAATGTCATTCTAAGATGTATTAACAAGAAAGAGAGTCCTATATAAGATACAGGAGGGAACTGTTCCACACTATTTGACCCCGGTTAGGTCCCAGTTGGAGTACAAAGTCCAGTTTGGGGCACCACCCTTTAAGAAAGAAGTGGACTAATTGGAGAGATTTCAGATGAGAGCAACAAAAGTGATAAGATGTAGAAAACATGATCTATTAGAAAAGTTGAAAGACATGGGCATGGTTAGTCTAACCAAAGGCTGGGTTTGCAAATACATTAACAGAATCATCAAATTTTCTGCATGTCCACTCAAGGTGGAACAAGAGGTCAGCTTACTTTAGAGCAAGGAAAATATAGGCGGGATATTGGGACTAACTTTTGTTATTGTTAAATAACTTATCGCTGAAAGAAAGTTACAGATGGAGGTTATGGAATTCCTTCATGATAAATTAAACAAACAGCTGCCACATATGGTCTAGGAGAGGATGGGGGACCTCAGGAAATGGACTAGATGACCTTTCAACGTCCTTTCCTGTCCTACATTTCTACAGTGGTAAGGCAGGAGAAGGGTGGAATATTCTAGGCAGAACTAAAACTGGAAAGACGTTAACACACAGCGGAGACTGACAGACCCCCCCGCCATCTCTCGGGTTACACGCATCGCTTGTCCTTTCCCACGATGTAGCAACCCCCCCGGCCACTCGTGCACTTGAGGGGCAGCGCGCAGCCTCGGGGGAAATAACAAACCGGCATCTAGGTGAACGGGCGGATGCCGAACTCTCGGGGCGGCCCCAGAAAGGCCTTTCCGCGATGCCCCCACAA